GTAAAATTTTACTTTCAATAAAAATAAAGTTTTACTGCCAAACAAAGTAAAACTTTACTGTCTCATTACAATGCTTGTGCATTTTGTTTAGTGCTTAATTGTTTTGTCACTTTGTTGTTTAAACTAAAATGTTACACTGTTGATATAGGGAAATTTTTTACTGTTTTAAAATGGTTGTTACAAGAAGCAAATGTGGTGATGATGATGATGGTGATTTTGAAGGTCCACCAACTGTTATACAAAAGAAGAAAGTCCCAAAAAAAATAGGCAAAAGTAATAAAGAAGTTTAGTTCAATGCTAGTGATGATAAAGGTTGTATGCCTTCAACAATAAAACTTTCAAAGTTGAATGTTGTACATGGAGTACGGGAGAGGGAGAATTATGTGAAACAATATAGGTCAAATATTGTTTCACTGATAAACATAATGCGAGACACGAGGTTCACTGAAAGACATATTAGTATCCTCGAGAGAACACTTTTTGGGATGTTGTTTATATCTTTTTGGAAGAAAGAAGATGTGGTGTTAAAGAAGTTCAAGAAAGTTGATGATAATGTCATGGATGTGATCAAATGTTATGACTTTCATGCAAAGGGATTTAAGCTTGGGGGGAAAACGTGTGACATACGGGACAGTGACGTTACTTTTATTTTGGGGATAAAATCGAGAACGAAAAAAGTAGACGTCTCATATGGGAAGAAACAAGAATCAGCTTTTGTGCAGAGAAGGTTTCGTAATATGTCAAGAATATCCATAAAGAGTTTGTGAGAGGCATTAGGAGATGCATTGGAAGGCACAACAAGAGTTGATGTTGAGGATGTTGCCTGAATAATGTGCTTGTTTGTTGTGGCAACTTTGCTATTACCAATAATTGGTCTAACAGTTGGATGGACTTTTGTTGCCTTTGTAGAAGATTTGGAAATGATGAATTCATATGCATGGTCAACTGCAGTTGCATCCAAGTTGACTATTTCAATCCACTCTTCGTTAGGAAGTCTTGAAAATGTAACTGGATGTGTACTTCTTCTTTTGGTAAGTAAATTGAACTACTTGAAATATTATGCAATCTATCTTTAGAGAATTTTGATTTTTTATTTTACAGTACTGGTTATGTGAGCATACTACCCTCATTCAACCTCAAGGAAAAAATTTGTGTTCAAGGCTCCTTCGATGGGACTTATCAACGTTGAGAAAAAAACTAATGAAGAGGTCATTGCAAACACTAAAGACTGCAAAGGTATCATTTTCCAAACTCAGCCTTACTGGTTTATTTTCCTTAAAATTATACTTATATAATAAAACTTAGCTTACACTTGAACAGAGTAAAAGTTTACTTAAAATTGGAGTGAAAGTTTACTTACAATCAGAGTAAATTTTTATTTTGAAACAGAATAAAATTTTACTTACTCTTGAACATAGTAAATTTTTACTTACAATCAGAGTAAAATTTTACTTTGAAATAGAGTAAAATTTTATTTACTCTTGAACAGAGTAAAAGTTTACTTATAATCAGAGTAAAATTTTACTTACGCTTAAGCAGAGTAAAAGTTTACTTACAATCAGAGTAAACTTTTACTTACAATCAGAATAAAATTTTACTTACTCTTGAACAGAGTGAAAGTTTACTTTAAATCAGAGTAAAAGTTTATTTACAATCAGAGTAAACTTTTACTTACAATCAGAGTAAAAGTTTACTTTAAGTCAGGGTAAAAGTTTACTTACAATCAGAGTAAACTTTTACTTACAATTAGAGTAAAATTTTACTTACTCTTGAACAGAGTAAAAGTTTACTTATAATTAGAGTAAAAGTTTACTTACAATCAGAGTAAACTTTTACTTTGAAACAGAGTAAAATTTTACTCTGGTGGTTGAAGTTTTCTTCATTGCTGACTTCTTTTCTTTTTCTATTTTTCAAATGCAGAGGTAAATCACGAAGAACTAAAACCCATTTCCAGAAAAGAAATGGATCTCATTCGCAATGATAAGGAAGAAGATGCATCGGACATGGAGGAAAATTTGGAGACTAAAGAAGATGAAGATCATGTAGCTGAAGCTTTAGGAGATGATCAACCTTTAAAGGACTTCATTGATCTTGGGAAATTAGAACGAGTTCAAAAGGAAAACAAGAGGTTGAAACGTGAGAATATGGCATTGGTTGAAGAACTGAAGAAAATAAGGAAAACAATGCAAAAAATACAAGAGAATCAAGAGGCAAAAACAAAAGAAATGATGGAAAAGATGAGCAAGACAGAGAAAGAAATGGAGAAACTGAGAAAGGAGTTTGAAGTACTCGAATCTGAAAATAAACAGTTGGTTGAGCAGGTTGAAGAAAATGCAGTTCATGCGGCTACCCAAGGTTTTGCTTCTAAAGAAATGCCACATGCTAAAGGAGTAGAACAAGAGCAAAACTTTGGGATTCAAACTATATTGAAAGAAACACCTATAGTCGTAATGGTCAAGAAAATCAAAATCAAGGCGAGGAAGAAAAAATAGATGTCTGATTTTGAATGTTAGCCAAGAAAGGCAAAGAAAAAAAAGACCACAAAACAAGCAATTGAAGTGATATCAAATGAAGTGATTTGTGTTGACAACTTGCCTCTAAGCCAACCAAAGCCAGTTGAAAGGGTTTTTTTTCCAGATAAGGCTGCAATATGCAAATTGCTTGATGAGAATGATAAGTGTCTACTGAACAAGATTTATAATTTGGAAACCACAGAGTAAGACCATTTTAATTTTATCAAACAACAGATTTTACTGTTATCAAACTGCAACGTGTTAATCAACATTTTTTTTACCTTATAACTAGTGCAATCATATGGTCCGGCACAAGAAATGGAGTATATGTTACATTGCATGATGTGGATGCGATTCTAAGAGATGGTGATATTGCAAATAATATAAGTGGCCATACAAGTTTCAATGACTACTGTTCACTTCAATAACTAAAAATAGTTCATTTTATTAACATATATTTAATTGATTTTTGTTTTTGTAGGTCATTGACAGCTTTGTCGAAATGCTTCAGATTGAACAAGAAGCAAAGAAACCAGAAAAGAATAAATCATTCTTTTTCTCAAGCCTTTGTTGGGTAAGCCATCAATTTGTGTTTAGTTTGAATTGATAAAATTTTATTGTAGTTTAGTGTAACATTGTACTGTATTTTGGAGTTAATTTTTACTATTTGGTTTGTAAAAGATTGACAACTCATACAGTGTGTCATCAACACAACTTGAGACATGACACTCTTATATGATTAAATGCAGTCTTTAGTGAAATGGGGTTATGGAGAGTTGAGAAATCATTTAATTGATGAAGTCCTTGAACAAGATTTTAGTGGATACAGATACCTTCATTTTTGCATGAATTCCAATGGGAACAAAAAGGAAGAAAAACCCTACCACTGGACACTTCTTGTATTTGACACTGAACTTGATAAGTGGAGACATTACAATTCTTTAAGGCCAAGAGACAACAGAGAAGATCCTTACCTTAAGGATGCAAAAAAGATTGTAAGTGCTTTGCATCATATTAACAGTAATTTTTTGCTGTGTTTTATTCTTGAATTTAATCGTGACCAAACATTTATGCAATGATGTTAGATAACATATGTGGATAGCAAGTTGGCCAACAAAACGAAGAGAGGTAGAAGAAAGTTTTCAAACTTGGTTTCGGTGAAAGATAGTCCATAACAACGCCCAACATCGTAAGTATTTCACGCTACTATTACATGCTTGAATTGGTAGTTTTCAAATTTGACTAAATCTAACAATATATTGATGTTTATTAACAGTGTTGAATGTGGAATTATTGTATGTTATATCATACGCCAAATCATAAGAGATGAGTCTATTGCAAATTCTATGGAAGATGATGAAATTAACAACTTTCGAGCGTCAATAGTGCATCAATTTTTGAATGATTATCCAAAAGCATGAACTAAGGAACACTTCAACCTCAAAAACAAAATGGGCAAGAGCTAAGACCTCAAGGATGACAATGTGGACAAGTTTTGGGGAAGTACTGTAAATGATGTATGTAATTTCAGTTTTTGTAAATGAAAGAACGGTGAAAAAGTAATTGTAAGTGAAATAATACTAAAAGAGTATTAGATAGTACATGCTATATTTATTGTTCTAGTAAATTTTACTGTGGTTTGGTGATTAATACATTATTATAGAAGGATATTGTTTTGACTAGGAATGAACATTGTTATGGATAGAATACAATGATATAGGTTATACTTGTGTATCTCTGATGATATATGTAGTTGTGTTGTTAGATTTTTTTTGCACAAAGATTGCATGATGATCATCAGGGGAGTTTGTGTGCTGTGGTAAATTTTGGTGCAGGTGGGAAATATTTTTCTAAGGAGGCTAACATATTTTTTGAAATAAAGTAAAATTTTACTTTGAAATGAAGTAAAATTTTACTCTGCATAAAAGTAAAATTTTACTTTATTTTGAAATATGAGTAAATTGTTACATTCTGAATCTAAAAGTAAAATTTTACTCTGCATAAAAGTAAAATTTTACTCTGAAATAAGAATAAAATGTTACACTTTGAATCTAAGAGCAAAATGTTACAGTCTGAATAAGTAAAATTTTACTCTGAAGGGCGAGTAAAATTTGGACTCTAAATCTAAAAGTAAAATGGTACTCTACACCAAAATAAAATTTTACCCTCTATAAAAGTAAAATTTTACTCTAAAATAAAGTAAAAGTTTAATCTAAAAGTAACATTTTACTCCGAATATGGTAAAATTTTACTGTGAAACCATAGGCTCATCACACCCATAGACAACCATTCAACCACAGAGTAAATCAGAAACTAGAACAGACAACCATTCAAGAACATAGAAAAACTGTATTATTTTCATACTTCTATTACAAAATCAATAATGTCTTTCACGGCAATGTCTCATTGCAAGTCTTCCTATTATGACCGTACTTCTTGCATCTACCACATTGTACTCGTTTTACCTTCTCACCCCGAGATGGGCTCCTATTCTTCCTTGGCCTCCCAGGTGGCTTTTTTATAAATTGGAGGAAGGACAACAAGATAATTAATAGTTACAAGAGGTTTCTCAACAGTGGGTATTGGATAAACGGGCTCAGCATTGCATTCTTTGAACTTGCTAGTGTAATAAAATGGTTTCACATGTGCATACAAATCACCTCCGCTCTTTTGGATAGCGGTTTCCGCGTGAGCACAAAGAAATCCATTCAATTGCCATTGGTAACATGAGCAAGTTCTATTCAAGAGGTCAACGCTAACCGATGGCCGGGATTGAACCTCAAAAACATGATCACTTGAACGACAAACCAACCAAGTTCTTCCACTTTTATGAGCATTTACTAATGTTGAATCCATCTCTGGACAAAGAAAAGTATTCAATTTCTTAGCTTGTTCTCTCATTCTCGACATCAAATCCATGATCTTCAACCTAATTGAATCAATCATCTTCGTAGTGGGCAAATGACGAGCTTGACGGATCCATGAATTAAAAGACTCTACCACATTCGAGTGCATTTCATCGTATTTTTGTCCTTTAAAATATGCATTAGTCCACTTGTCATATGGCAAATTGGATAGAAACCTACAAACGATCTATTTTCCCTCATCTTGTAATTCTTTCAAGCACTGATTAAAACATCCCACTGTCGGAGCATAAGCACATGAAGAAAACAAAAAAACTATCATACTTCTGAAAGTATTGCTGAAACTTAGACCGGAGAACCTATCCCTCAAATTGGCCTTTAAGTGTTGGAGACAAAAATAGTGGTAAGCAGTAGGTAAAACCTTGGGTAAAGCCTCCAAAAGTCCTGTGTTCCGATCAGATATGAAGGTAATTGGTCTTTCATCCAACAATATATTCGACAAATGCATAAAAAACCATTCCCAACTGTCTGTAGTCTCCGTATCGACAATTGCCATTGCAAGAGAGAAAAAACCTGAAAAATAACATTTTACAATTAACAAGTATATTAAATGAAAAGGACAAATATAGTAGATTTTTACTCTGAATAACAGTAACATGTTACTCTGAAAATAGATAACATGTTATTCTGAGAATAAGTAACTTGTTACTTTTGAATAAACTATAGTAATATCTACCTTGATCCCCATCCTTCGCTGTAGCTGTTAACAAGGTGCCCTTATATTTCCCCTTCAGAAAAGTTCCATCGGTAAACAATAGAGGACACCAATGCCTAAACCCTTGAATGGAAGCATTAAATGCAACAAAAAACCTTTTGAACCGTCCACTTTGATGGTTATAGTCAAGACGCAAATAGCTACCAGGATTTGTGCTCATCACAATATCCATACACTATCGAATCTCATCATAAGACATAGAGAAATCTCCAAAAGTAGTAGTCCTAGCTTTCTTAACTCCCAACCAAGCGTAATTGTACGTAATGGTGAGCTCGTATTGATCTGTAAATTGACGCACAACATCAATTGGATGAGATTGGGGATTCCCATGAACTTCATTAACGATCAAACTTGCAACCAAATTTGAACTCATTCTTGAGTTTTTAGAAGTACGAACTGCAGCTCCACAAGTATGCTCATCATGTAGAGTCCTAATGTAGAAAAAATTATTAGCACTTTCTAGAGATGCATGTACTTGCCATAAACAAGCTTTGGACTCCCGCATTGAACACACAGCGGTGACCCGACACTTCTCATTCTTCACATACATAAACTCAAATCCTATCTTAATGGCATATTTACATAATGCAGTCCGGAAATCCTTTGCACCTCCAATAAATCTTTGACCTACATGAGTAATTCTATTCACCCATCCACAAGACAACAATGTCCTTTCTTCATGTTGACAAAACATAGGGAGTAAATCCATTTCATCATCAGTAATGTTAGATCCAGTAGCGTCCTCTAATTCTCCAACTCCATGTTTTTCATTTGAAATGCCCATTTTAGTAATAGTCACATCAACCTGGTCAACACCAAGGGGATAAACAAGCGACAACATATTCTGAAAATCAGAATCATCATCAATCGTGCATTGCGAATGTCCAAGCAAGCAGTACGATAACAGTATGGAACCACTATTGTCAAACTTCTTCAATTTACAACTTAAGAAATTAGTTAAATCTTTCAACGTGCAGTTTGACACAACCTTGAACACAATGGTACGATCACCATACTTGCATAACAACATAAGAGGTGGAACCATTTTACAAATCTGCAATCAATTAACAGTAAAAATTTACTGTCAATCAAAGTAAAATTTTACAGTCACTATCAAAGTAAAATTTTACTATCACTATCAAAGTAAAATTTTATTGTCACTACAAGTCCAAAAGTCAATTTGTGTTTAGTTTGAATTGATAAAATTTTATTGTGGTTTAGTGTAACATCGTACTATATTTTAGAGTTAATTTTTACTATTTGGTTTGCCAAAGATTGACAATTCATATAGTGTGTCACCAACACAACTTGAGACATGAATCTAAAAGTAAAATTTTACTCTGCATAAAAGTAAAATTTTACTCTGAAATAAGAGTACAATGTTACAAAAAGAATCTAAAAGTAAAATTTTACTGTGAAATAAGAATAAAATGTTACACTTTGAATCAAAGAGTAACATGTTGCACCCTGATTTTAAAAGTAAAATTTTACTCTGAAAAACGAGTAAAATGTTAGACTCTGAATCTAAAAGTAAAATGTTACTCTGCACAAAAGTAAAAAATTTTACTCCGAAATAAGGTAAAATTTGTCATTATAACACCAAAGTAAAATTTTACTCTAATTCTCTCAAACAAAAAACAGAGCAATAGAATCAGAGTAAAATTTTACTCTCATTCTTTGAAACAAAAAATAGAGCAATAGAACCAGAGTAAAATTTTACTCTGGTTCTGTCAAACGAAATCAAATCAAACACAACAAAAATAAATCAAAAAAAAAATAAAAAAAAAAATTAATCAACTAATCAACATATCTAATTGAGAAGAAAAACCTCTAAAACTCGATCAACAGTCACAAATCTCAATGAAACTCTCGTTTAATTGACCGTGTTGATCGTCGGCGGCGAGATCGTCTATTGTTGAGCAAGTGAGAGATATTCGGCTGCGAGATGTTCAGATTTGGAGATTGTCTTCATCGATTTCGTTCCTGTTAGATTTCGTTCGTGATTTCGTTCAGCTTAGATTTGCGAGATCTTCAAATATTTCAAATATTTCGTTCAGCTCAGATATGGAGATTTTATATATAGAGGGGCAGTATTGTGATAAAAAAAATAGAAAATATAAAATGTCCTTATTAAGGTAGGCATTTCCTAATCAGGGGCTTTTTGAAAGAAAATTGATTGGGTTATCCTTTACCCTAATAAAAAGGCCCAAAAAAGGAGTTTCACCAAAAATCCCATAAATTATTTATGGAATTTTTTTTATACATATGTTGGCTCCACCAACTCATGTTTCCAAAGTGTGTATCTATGATTAGTGCTCAAAAATACTATTCTAAAAATGTAAGAGATCTCAAAAATTATACTAAAATTTTTACCAAATGTTTTACATGGGTGTGGAATTCACATGAGACTCACATGATGTGAATCTCACACTCATGTGAAACATTTAATAAAAAATTTAATAAAACTTTTAAGGCCTCTAACATTACTCTATACTATCCACAATGTGAAAATCATTTTTAGTGAGTGCTTAGGCTCCCGAGGTCATCACTCCAATTTGAGGGTCCCAATTTGTTGAATCCACCTTAAAAGGAAACTCTAAAATTATGCGAGAATTTAAAAAGGACACTCGGTAGTTATTTATTTTAAACAAATTTAACTCAATAAGTTTAATTTTATATCTTGTTAGGTTAAAATAATATTATTTGTTCAAAATGACAATTATTTGTTTAAAGTTTAATTATTTGTCTCGTTTAAATGTCGCCTATTTGTATATGTCTCATATATATGTCTAAATATCTACTTATATGTTCACATATCATGTATCTATTTACTTATCTATTCACCTCACTACCACTAGCCGTCGTCTCCGACCATCGCTATTAGCCACTGCCAACCGTCGATGACTTTTCAACTCATGCCATTGTTACCAAAAAATGTTAAACCTTAGATATACAACTCTATAGGAATGAAATTTTCACTATGTAAGAGGAGCTAATTTGAGCCCATTAAATTAATTAGGCCCAATAATCCAAGATTGGTGGGCCTGAATTTATCGCAAGTCCAAGATTGGTGAGCCCGGATTTATCGCCATCAAACGGGCTGAATCGCTCTAAGCCTCGAAGGGGTTCGGATCCACAAACTTAGAGACTTAGAGCTTACTCGGGCCCGGACTCGAAAGGGTATTGAACAAGCCTAGAGATCCGAGGCATTCAGACTCGAAAGGGCTTGGATCCATGAACCTAGAGATCCGAAACACTTGGCTTCGAACGGATTCAGACCCAATCTAGAAGTCGCTCCGTTAATGAGTCCCAGAACATTTGCGGGCTCGGAGCTTTCCGGGATCTGCGAACCAGAACCATGGGCGTAATGGACTCCGAACAAATGACCTGATCCCGAGGACGGTGAGTGGAGATAAATTCACTCTTCGGTTAAACTAGCCTATACCCGGGTCGAGGTGGCACGATCTAGGGGGTCCCTGAGACTCAGCAATGTTTGCGGCAGGGCGTTCTCTTGAACTACCCCTGATCCTTATGCGGCAGGACGTCCTCTGGGACTACTCCTGACCCTTTGGGATGATTGGGGATCATTGGTTAGGTGTGGCTAAGAAGAAGGGTTCGCCGAGGGGTTGATCTCCTCTTCGAGGTTTTCCTCATCCTCGGAGAGGTCACCTCCTCGGACAAGGTGGTTAGAGAGAATATTCCCCATGTGGGGCTCCATCCTACATTATGAGGTGCCTATAAATAGCACCCACCCATAGCTTTACAAAGAGATGGATTTTGGAGAGTTAACTCTTAGGAAAGAACTAATTTCCCTTCTCCATTATCAACCTTGAGAGTGAAAGTGGGGGATCCATGGGAGAGCCTTGCCATTATTCTCTCTCTAGCCACTTTGCCTTCTTCTTTACCCAATCTCTTATCTCTATCATCTCCTTTACTTTTATGTTCTTAAGTTGAGACTATTGAAGAATCTAAGCCTCTCATCATCTTCTAGAGAATTTGAAGCTGTTCTTCAAGGATCTTCGAAGATCTTCGAATTTTCCAACGACGTTCTTGAACCCCCTCATACATTTGGCGACTCTGCTGGGGAGGCGGATTGGTTAATGGTCTCGACGGGATCTGGAACTCATACAACATCGACAAAAATGGTAGATAATGAGACTCATCAACAAGGCTCTTCCAATGGTGGTGATGAAAAGACTCAAGTTCAAGACTCACCTCTCATCCTTGAAGCCATTCAAGGACTCCAACACACTCAGCAAGAGATTTTCACGATCCTTCAAAATCTCACCCACACTATGTTGGTGATGGGTTCGCATTTCGCACCACCGGCAACAAATAGAGGTCAAATCGGCGCCGACAAGCATTAACAACTTCATGATGATGTTGGGAATGGTCAAAACCATCAAGATCCACCCCAAATTCTCTTTGAAGTTGCTCAAAATGGTGTGCAAAATCAAGTGCTAGGAGGAACAAGTTATGGCCAACTTGTAGCCTATGGAGTGCAAAATCACGCAAATAGAAGATCGAGCCATGGTCCATTAGTGGTAAGAGGAGTCTCCGGCGCAATGAATGGTGTTCCAGCGGCGGTGGAAGTTCAAGGAAGGCCTACAAAAATTTCTTTACAAAGTGGTGCTCTATCCATGCCTAATTTTATTCCACCGATTGTAAATTCTACTCATGTACAGAATGGGTCTCCTTTGGCTCCGATGCCGAGTTTGCAAGCCCAACCTGATATAGCCGTGGCGTACAATGGACTTTATGGGACCCAATGCAACGTCCTATCACCAAACGACGTGTCCATAGGTGCCGATGGCCAATATCATCATGTGTCTTCACCGATGGTGAATTCTCAACACCCAAATGGCCAAGTTGCTCCAAGCTCAGTCTTCGGGTCTATAAGTCAGGTTCCGGGAATACCACCATCAAGTTCTCTCCCTCAACAATTTCTTACTCTCGCCAATGTGCAAGCCATGTTCGATCTCGAACGAGGCAAGAGGACTTTACCCTCTTTGCCTGATCCGGATGTCAAGCCACCATACCCTATCGAGATGTTGAGTTATCCATACCCGGAGGGGTACACGGTGCCAAAGTTCATCAAATTCAATGGCAAGCAAGGAAATGCTCGAGAACATGTTGTTCGGTTCATCGAGACTTTGGGGATTCATGGTTCAA